ACCCTCCCACCCCGCGCCCCGGCCCTGGGCGAACCCGAACCAGCAGCCGCAGGAGGGCGGGAGGGACTGGTAGATTGGAGACCCCTCCAGCCCCCACCATTTAAGGGAAGTGGCCCTTGGCAAGCAGGGCTCGCCACCTGCTGTGGCTTTCCCCGCATTGACAGACCCAGGACAGCGTAGGCGTGGGCCTCCCTCGCTCGGAGAGGGGATGGATTGATATTTTGCGCCCTTCTGTCTTCCTGTTCGGAGGATGGCAATGACCTGTTGAGGTTTTGAGGGGCTGAGGCACCGCCTGCGACAGATTTACCCAGTGGTTGCGGGGAGCTGGTTAAAATGCAGAATTCCAGGCCCCCGCCCAGACCCGCCAGTCAGTTCTTACGGGAAGGGTGAGACCTGGAAATGTGCATTCCCCCGGCCCGCCCAGGTGAGGCCGAGGTCCCCTGAAGGCTGAGAATGGCAGCTGGGCGGGGCTGCGGCCTCGGATCCGCCCTTCCCCCTTAGCGTCCTGTCCTCTCTGGCACTATCCTGTGGCCGCCGCTTATTGCAGCGTCAGTTGCTTGGTGCAGAAGGTGGGGAGGGTGAACCCCTAAGGTGGCTTCATCAGGTGTCCATGGAAATTAAAAAAATAAAAATAAAAAAAAAGGAATGATTCCAGCTGCCATTTTGTGGGGTCTTTGTCCCTGTCTGCCTTGAATCTTCCGGTGAGGTGGCCCTATTGATGTAACGTAGAGGAGGAAACCAGCTCAGCGAGGTTGGGGACCGCTGGGACCGAGCTGCAAAATGGAGATTGAACTCAGGATGGTTCTCTGTTCTCCCGTGTTTGAATCCTGACCATTCAGGACTAAAGAATGGTGACAAATAACCGGGAGCTCTATGCCTGGAATAGTGCTTGCCTGTAATATACATCCTCAATAGATACTTTAATACATTTATATGAAACTTGGACTCTAAAGTTTAATTATTCATGCCGAAACCAATTATGAAATGCCTACTATATGCAGAGTCCATACCACGTGACTGGGATGCAAAGGTGAATTGAACAAGACCTGCCCAACAGGTGCAGGTGTCCTGACCCTGGCTGTGCATTGGAACCACCTGAGAGGCTTAAACAGTTACTGTCGCTGCTCAAAGATTTTAGATCTTTGAAAAAAGAATCGAGGGTGGGGGCTGGGTATCTAATTTTTTTAAAGCTGCCAGATGATTTTAATGGCAGTGACAGCTGAGAACCTCTGATTCAGTGCATGAGAGAAACTGCAAATAATTAAGTAATAATCACCACGATAGAACTATGCACCATTAATATGGGGACCCAGAGGAAGTGGGGAAGTCAGTTAAAAAAGAAAAAGATTACTATTTGGTATTGGAATGGAAGATCACACTCCCTTTAAAATTTGTCACTTTGGAACTAATTTATTTTCTAAACAGTGACAAGGATTCAGGTTCAAATCGTGTATTGGAGAGCCAGGCATTTGCAGGTACGTCCTTGTAGTTAGTCTGCATTTTTAGGCGTAGCCACGGGAAGGTGGGAATCTTGGTATATGAAACACTTTGGAAGAAAGTGATGGCAAGATTTCCTGAAATATAATAGGGAGTGGGGAGTTGAGGTAAAGAAAGAAGAACTTATATGATGTGTCACGCTCTCTGCTGGGCACTTGAGATTAAATGGCTGTGTTTTTAATCTTTATCACGATGGTGCGAGTTTTGGGAACTGATTTCCCCATTTTATAGACAAGAAAACTAAGATTCAGTGACGTCAAAGAATTTGCTGGAGACGAAGAGTAGTCATTGCGAGGGATTGGTTTTCTACCCAGGCAGCTCATTTCACCTCGTGGCTCTAAGCTGTTGGTTGGTTGGGGGGATTTTGTGGTTAAAAGACAAAAACAAAAACAAAAAAAAGTAGGTGCCATGAGTCCCAGGAGGTAGTGTCACTCAGTATTAATTATGTCATGCTGCCAAGACATGCAGTCTGTTTGCTGAAGGAATCCTGTGCTCATTTTCTCTTGAGACAGCTCCACATCCTGCTGTTGAGGAAGCTGTTGCTGCAGTTTAGTTAGGAAACAAGGCATTTGCCCCATATGGCTGGAAACCATTTTCTGACGTCACGTGCTTCGTTTCTGGCTGGAGTTCTCTTCTTCTTGGTGAAACACAGGAAATTGGTGGTTTAGAGCTTGGGTTTGGGAGTTGAGCTGGGTTCAAGCCCAGGCCCTACTCCTTATCAGCTGTGTGACTTGGGAAAATTACTTTACCCAAATTACTGTACCCAATTACTGGGTCTCAGTTTTTTCACCTGTAAAGTGGGAATAACAATATTTATACCTCATAGGGTTGTTTTGAGACGCAATTCATATACAATTTAGAGCACTAAGCATTCAGAACACCTTCATATTTACTGGTGTGGTGGGTCCCCCAAAGACATCCACGTGTGGCCCGTGACTGGTACCGTTCATGGCAAAAGGGACTTTCCAGATGTGAAGTTAATGATTTTGAGATGGGGAGACGATCTTGGATGTCTCAGGGGAGCCCTACGGATAATCACCAGCATCCTCAAAAGAGAGGCAGGAGCGTGAGTCCCAGAGCTGGGGAGAGACCTGAAGATGGAGGCTGGACCACAAGTGGAGGAATACGGGGCATCTAGAAAACTCGAGGGAACAGATTCTCTTCTGGAGCCTCCAGAAGGAAATGGTCCTGCCAACACCTCGATTTTAGACCCACGAGACCCGCTCTGGACTCCTGACGTCCAGAACTGTGAAAGAGTAAGTTTGTGGTGATTTGTTAGGGCAGCGGGGGAAGCTAATGCAGAGGGTGTGTCTCGTAGGCCTGGGGAAGGGATTCTCACACTAAGCTTCTAGTCCCAGTGAGGCTGCCCGGTCGGACTGGGAGCCACTTAGCATGGCGGGTGCAGCTGGGGCATCTCAAGGCTCAAGGGTGCAGAATATAAACCGACATATTGCGTGACTCATACACTGACCACTGAGGGGGGGAATGAATACTTATTTAAGATTTGCAGTGTTTTGCCCTAAACTAGTGTTTTCTCACTGGGCTGCGGAATGGCCCTTTGACGTTGCAATATTTTTATCCTCGTTTCACTAACAAGTAAACTGAGGCCCAGAAAGATTAAGCAATTATTTGGGGCCAAGAATGCGTGGCAGAAACCAATAAGAACTCAGGTGAGTCTGACTCCAAATTAAGAGAATGCGGGGCGGGGGGCGGTTCTGGGAGCAGCCAGGGCTGGCAGCTGGGAGGCATTTATTCATCACCTCTGTCCCCTGTGCTGGTTTTTCTCAGTTTATTTGTTTTTCCCACCAGTAACAATGAATGATTCTTTTGCCAAGTGACCGCAGGAGAGAGAATCTGGGAGTGGCAGTTAAGGTATATTGCATTTTGAAAACTGCTGTAAGACTAAAGATAATGTCGTCAGCTACAGTTTTAAATACGCAGGGCAGGATGCTGGCCTTTTTGCTTCGTGGTTGAGTTTGAATGCCAGGATCACACAGACTCAGGGTAATGACCAGGTTTGCCGTTTTAGTCCTTATAGAAGTCTGTGTCACTGTCCTTCCCCCTGTGTGCCTCAGTGTCCTCTTCTGTAAAATGGGGGCAAGTAAGAGTGCCTTTGTGGTCTGGTATAATCATGCACAGCAGCATGTGAGCCCTCAGAGACCGTCCGAAATCGGGGGGCCTCACGTGGACCCCTGCGCTGCATAGCATCTTTCTAGATCTTTGTAGAGGGTCTGGTGAGAACTCTGGCTGGAAAATGGCCACAGGGTACCTGACTGTTAGAAGCTATCACAGACCTCAAATTACTGAG